ATATTGAGAGAGGGGAAACCAGAGAGAGAAAATAATGTCCCTAATAGAACCGCAGAGATAATAGGGCCTAGAAAATCCTATGGGATGGACCATTTTACTGACATCCGATTATTTGTATGTATATTTAGAGCAATTATCTATTAAAGTACGGAGATTCATTGTGGAATGTGGACAGTGAAGTATTCCTGAAGGAAATCCCAAAGGGGGTATTCCACAGTCCGCATTTTTGTACATATTCCCCTGGTGTCCATACGATTCCCGACTTGTATTCTGATTGAATTGAAAACATTTTATGCATTTGATTTAATCAAAAGAAAAACAGAATGCGAAGGCCCGCTGCAGCAGTAGAAGCAGGCGGAAAGCAAAGAGCAGAATGCGGTTCGGCTACCGGTTCAGGTTCACCGGAAAAATGCTGGCTGGCCATGGTGGTGGCAGTCAGTCATTCAAATGAAATGCAAAATGGCATTCATTCATGCAATTTGCATTGTTTGACGGTTCCCGGGGACACAACGTCCGACCACCGACCACCGACCCTGCCGTGCCCGTGCCCGTGCCCGTGCCTCACTCATCCACTTCCGATCTGTGTGCGACATCAGTGCGACCAGCCCCCTCCTGGCTAAACGCTTCGTCGGGCCACCTGTGCCCATCTGTGCCCACAATGGGAGCACACCACACCACACTACACCACACAGCGATGTGAAGGAGAAGAAGGTTGGGGGCGGCAGTGGCAGTGGATGATGATAAAGAAGCAGAAAGCACGCTTCAGCGATTTGGATAAACTTAATTTTTGATTTCATTCCACACAAAAGAGTTCCATCTAAAGACCAATTTATAATGAAATCTACTCTCCTTTCCCTGCAGGGATCACTGTAGGAGCATAAGTCCTCGGATCTCGGAGATCCCTGGATACCATACCTTGAAGAGAGGTCTCCTCTCTCCCCCACCGCTGGCACAATGTTAATTAACTTTTGCTTCAAGTTGGCAGTTTCCACACATATGTGCATATGTATGCTGCAGTCCCTCCCTCTTCCTCTTGCACCTTTCCAGTACTGAGGTCAGCGGCCCTCCACGCCCAACAGTTGGAACTTTTTTGTTTGCATTTTCCCTGCTTTTCCGCCCCTGCCCAACGTTTTTGTGTGTTTTGTGTAATTCATTTGCCGTTTTGCTTGTAATTTGTTACAGTTTTTTAATCTTGCATTGTTCCAAGCAGCAGAATCCTTCAGTCCATGCCCGTCAGACGAAGCCTGAATGAAGGACCCGGACACGGACACGGACACGGACACGAACACGGCGACTGACGGACGTGACCAGCGGGCAAGGGGGCAAGGGCAGAGCACAGCAGAGCACAGCAGAGCAGAGCAGAGATGCAGATGTAATCAACATCATAATCATTGGCGACGGGGCCAGCATTTTGCATCTCTCCACATTCGCATCCTCATTGTCCGGAAGCGACAGGAGGAGCCGCCGCAGTTTGTCTGCCTCATCATGATGTTGCCACTTCTGCAGGTCCTACTGCCCCTCCTTCTGGTGGCCAAGTCCTGTCCGAGTTGGGCAAAACTCATTTGGTTCGCATGTGTGTGGAATCGCATTCGATGGAGCCTAGAGATGGGTGCGTGAATCGGAATGGAAAGGAAATACAAAATGTTAATATGTTTATACCCGAACATATGGTACCAGTGATTCATTAAATAATAAGATACAAATATGTATATTCTATATGTAAATACATAAATGCATGTATATATATACATATATATAGTTAAATATGCGACACTGCAGTTTGCGTTTTAATATGTTTAGATATGTCACTATATATATATTGATGGTGTCTTGATGTGGAGGCCTGTGTGCCTCGAATTATAGATTTTATTTACCTTTGATGGGTTCCGCATTCCCGTGTGAATGGCAAATGCAACCCCCTTACGAATGATGAGAGATCTGGCAACTATCGTGCATCGTGATGGTGTGCAGCCATCTCAAATCCATATGGCTCGACATGATGTCCTCCCTCCTCTTCCTTATGAGTAATTTTTTTTTTTTTTTTTAATTATTATAATTTTACACACATAGAGAGAGAGAGAGAGAGAGATGGGGGATGGGGGAGAGAGGGGCACATGCTCATGGGCAACAACAATGGACGAAGGCGGCGCTATCGCATAATTCATTTGAAAGGCGCACAAAAGGCGCGCTTGGAAATGGAATTGGAATTCATACACCAACAGAACAGAACAGAACAGAACCCCCACAAACAATAATACATATTAATAAAAACGAAAAAAAACACACACACAAAAAACAGAGTGGGAGAGGGTTGTGAGTGATAAAACTATAGTTCTTGTGTTCTATGGCTATGGGATTTGTGAATGCCGGAATACAATAAAATACGAATAAAAATAAAAAAAAAATAATCATCCACAAACGCAGCAACAGACGAACGAGAACGGACCACCACATTCCACAATTGTTTTTCTTCTTTAACGAGCCATTTTTTGTTCGCTCTCCACTTGTTCGGTGGTCTTATCGATATGATATGCACGGTATTGTATGGTACAGTGCTTATGTCAGATATACCCCCAAAGGCCTCGAAATAGCTCTATAGACTCTTCAATTATCAGAAAGCAATGATATCTATCGTAGGTTTGACAGTATATTTACGATCTTAAGAGCATTTTAGGCAAGGCTCAGCATGGTCTTCTTTATGTCTATTATCTTCCCGGACAATAAGCTGTGATCATGTTAGATGTAAGCTAACATTTGTTCCAAAGGCACAATTGGAAACGCAGGTAAAACGCGGTAAAAGATGCAGAGACACCATATCTCCGATCCCGTCCAAGCATTCAGGATTCTGTGAAGAAATCATTGCATACTATTTAGCAGCTTCCAAGCTATGCTGAATCCTGGAGTCTTGCGTCGCCACTCTCTGGAGTGCCCCTCTCCGGCCACACCTCTTCGTCCTCCTAGGAAGAGGTCCTCCTGACACGCCATATGAATGGAAGGAAAAGAAAATAAGCATGAGGCCACACTGGTTCTTCCCCCTGTCATACTGTATGTAAATATGTAACTAAGGAGGCTACATGGAACATGACCACAGCGCATTGTCTGGAAGATAATGGCCATCACGTCCTCAGTATTTGGAGTATGTTCGACACCACCCAGAGACTCTAACAACGTCATAGGAAAGTTATCGCCAACATTGCCCCCGATCTGGAGTCCCTTCGGAAATGTCCCTTCGTCGGAATGCCCATATTTTGGCCTATAGCCTCCAGCCCCCGGTATCGTCTCATATGTGGACATTAGGCCATGGGTTTCCTCTCTAAGTTCAACTCTTTCGGTATCCGTTTATGTGTAATAAATAATATACGGAGTCAATGGGACGTTGGTATAATATTATCGGCTTGGTGTTTACTTTTTGTTTTGGATACCAACGCCGAAACCGTCATTCGTTATCAAACAGAAGATAGCCGCTTACCATATTTAATATATAATATTATATTTATTTATTATGGTACATTTATATTTTTATAAAATTGGTATTCTAGAAATATTCTCCTAGCATTATTATTCTTATTTGGGACTATTTCATTGTGAGCATTTCGTTGAGCCACATTTTTCTATATTTAATCACAAGTTGGGGAAATTCTACAATCGATCGATGATTATTATTTTAGTTTAATCTCCGGCTGGGGATCAACAGTTTTGTGTGATACAAGTTGTAGACTAAGCTCCTCCATGGCTCTTTCAACTCAACCATAAGCTTCGCCGATAAGCTGAGAAAAACAACGTTTCATTCATAGTTTGTCTTCCATGCAACATTCATAAGAATAGCCTTGCGACTAAAGAATTGATATGGTTTGTGGTTTTCATTTTTGTACATGCCATATTCGAAATGGACATCGAAATCTGATATGGTAACTACAGTTTATCGCATGCCAGGCACTCATGCGAATGATCGATCTGCAAGGAAGGGTAGCCCACGCTTCGGTTCGTCTTCTTCTCTTTTCTCTTTTATTTTATCGTGTCGTCGCTCTCCCCTTCCATTATTTCCGTATGTATGCCTGCGACACAGGATGGTGGGGGAGTGCGAGTGGGCTGTCGGCCCTCCCTCGCTGGTGCTATCTCTCACTCTCGCTTGCTGGAGGAACTCTCTTTCACCCAGTGACCGCGACGCTTTTGTGCAGGGTGTATTTATGCGAGGTGAGGCGTTGCCGCTAATAGAGTCGAGTATTTTTTGTTATCACTCTCTCTCTTTCGCTCTCATGTGTCACATGGCACCACCCACTCACCCAAGTGAAGGAATTTGTTCGATGGGTGAAGATCTCCCCCTACAATCATACACCATTGCTCACACTATGCCCGTCACCAAACACTCTTGAGTGTGTGCTGCTTGCTGGCCGCTAATACTGCCGATAAGCCCGGCTTTGCAGCATTTTTATACCCGGTACTCAAAGAGTTTTGGGGTATATTTTATTTGTGGTGGAAGTGGATGTGTGTAACACCTAGAAGGAAGCGTTTACGACCCCATAACGTATATACATTCTTGATCAGCATCAATAGCCGAGTCGATTTAGTCATATGTGTTTGTCTGTCTGTCTCAGAGACTAGGATTCAAAAATTCGCCCCGCCCCCACAAATGACGAAAGTGTGTGGCAAGTCTGTAAACCAACAACCCAGAACCGTAGAGAAGGAGCATGTCTACAAGGCTTAGATCGGATCATTATTATAACCAGAAGGAACAAATGAAATTGCAGTGGCTACGCCTTCCACGCGCTTAATCAATCCCTCTCTCTCTCACACTCTTCCTCGTGCAGTGGGCGCCCTCTAACGGAGGGAAGCGAGATAGCAACACACACATACTGACTGAGTATCGGGTATAAATGTAGAGCCGCGGCCCTAGCCTCGGCTCACAACATTCCCGCTCGTTTTTAATTCAGTTTCCAGTCAGCATTCAGTTCTGCGCCCATTTGCTTGTGTGCCGGCCCCCCTAGTGTGTCGCTGCAGCAAGTGAAATTTCACCTACTTTTTTTTCTGTTTTTTTTTGCTTTTTTTGGCTGTCACTATCTCGCTTTGGTGCATATTGTGTATAAAACGAGCAGCATAGCCAGGGAGTACAGTTAGAAAGGAAGATGCGGTTCAGCGGCCACAACCGTTATCCCTGCTCGACGGCGACAGCGGCGCTGGCACTCTGCGTTTGCTTAGCACTTGGCGCAGGACCGTCGCAGGGCGACGACAGCGCCGAGGCGATCGGCAGTGGCAGCAGGTGTGTTCTCTTTTCCCATATCCCCATAAATCGATTAAAAGTGCACTCCAAAATCCACATCAAACCTAATGTCGCTGAAGTGAAATTGAAACCAAGACCTCGGAGGAAAAGTGGTTTTTCCAGACAGCTTTCCAGCTTTTCTCTTGTGCAAAAGTGACGATCTAAAGTGAATTATTTCGGAATACATGAAAGTGAAATTTAAATCAATTATACAAAAGTTTGTGGTTTTTTTTGTTCTTTAAGTTCTGAAGTCTCTATGCAAACAAAAGGATAAAAAGACATTGTTTATGTCCTTTTTGGGTCAAACCTACAAACCCAAACGGAGATAAGGGTAAAAGAATTTAAGATTTCTGGGCTTATTATTAAATCATTTGATATACATATTTGTATGGTTTGGCTGTCATTATCTCGCTTTGATGCATATGGTGTATAAACCGTTAAAACAGTTAAAAACGAAGATGCGGTTCAGCGGCCACAACCTTTGTTACTGCTCGACGCCGACGCCGACGCCGACAGCGACGCTGGCTGTCTGCATTTGCCTAGCCCTTAGCGCAGCGCCGGCGCAGTACGAGGACAGCGTCGAAGCGATCGGCAGCGGCAGCCGGTGTGTTCCCTTCTTTCTAAAACCGCAAAAGCAATTAAAAGTGCAATCCAAAATCCACTTTTAACCCAATTTTGATCAAGTGAAATTGAAACCCAGGCCATGGAGAAAAAGTGGTTTTTTCAGACAGCTTTCCAGTTTTTCTCGTGTGCAATAGTGAAGATCTAATGATCCTATGCAATAAATATTTCATATATCATATTCATTCCATGGCATAGAGAATTCCTGACCTTGAAAGACGGTTTCAAAAAGTTCCGCTAAGCTTGAACAAAGGGAACAATTCATTCTCAAACGAACTTAAATGCAAGATAAATAAAACTATGGTTCCCTTAACTTAAGAGCTTACTGAAAAGATCCCCTTTAAAAGTTGATATTTGTTTTGTATATTTTGATGGGTCTTTGGGCGGCACTACCACGAATCATTATCGAACCGCAAAAGCCATAAAGCTGTTACAAATTACAGATACAATACAACAAAATTTAGTAAAAAATGTTCCATAATAGGCAAATATACGATTATACGAGTAGATCCTCTGCAATCTTTGTGGGTCTTTCGAGTGGAACGGAACCGCATCGAAGAAGAATTTGATAAACTTATCGCTGGAGTCTTCCGCCCGAGAGTACATAAACATATTTCCATATTTCAGAAAGTGGCTCTGCAGCCAAACGGACATCTGTACGTCCGAGGATGATATGGAGGATGGGGCGCAGTATCTGGAGGAGCGATTCGAGAGCCAAAGGGACTGCCGGCTGTCGTGCGGCAAGTATGGATCCATCTGGCCGATGCCGACGGGGGAGGAGTGCAGCCTGTCGCACGAGCGGGTGCACTTTGATCCGTGGAAGGTGCGCTTCCATGTGGTGGCCCCCAGCGAGGTGACCACGCAGTTCCTGCGCGAGACGAACCGCCTGTTTGTGAGCAATCTGCTCAAGGAGTGCACCCGCAACTGCACATTGGCCAGCAGCAAGCAGATCCTCGTGCGGGCCACTGTGAGCAGTGACAGCCTCGTCCTTGATTGGCGCACGGACGAGAGCTACTCGATGGTGCTCCGCACCACGGAGACGGCCACCTTCGTGGACATCCAGGCGGCGACAGTGTACGGAGCGAGGCACTCCTTCGAGACGCTCAGCAACCTGGTGGCGGGGAGCGTGACCAACGGCCTGCTCCTCGTTAGCGCCGCCCGCATCTCCGATCGTCCCGCCTTCCCGCATCGCGGCGTGCTCCTGGACACCTCGCGCAACTTCATACCGCTGCGGTATCTGCGCAGCACCCTCGACGCCATGGCCGCCTCCAAGATGAACGTCCTCCATTGGCATGTGGTGGACACGCACAGCTTCCCGCTTGAGATCACCCGTGTGCCGGAGATGCAGCGCTACGGCGCCTACTCCGCCTCGCAGACCTACTCCCGCACGGATTCCGTCAATCTGGTGAAGTATGCCCGCCTCCGGGGCATCCGCATCCTCATTGAGATCGATGGGCCCTCGCACGCGGGCAACGGGTGGCAGTGGGGCCCGGCGGCGGGCCTGGGTAACATGTCCGTGTGCCTGAATCAGTCGCCCTGGCGGCGCTTCTGCGTGCAGCCGCCGTGCGGTCAGCTGAACCCCCTGAACGATCACATGTACGCGGTGCTGAAGGAGATCCTCGAGGATGTGGCCGAGATGGGGGCACCAGAGGAGACCGTGCACATGGGCGGCGACGAGGTGTTTCTCCCGTGCTGGAACAACACGGAGGAGATCGTGACGAAGATGCGGGCCCAGGGCTACGATCTCAGCGAGCAGAGCTTCCTCCGGCTGTGGTCGCAGTTCCATCAGCGGAATCTGAACGCCTGGGACGACATCAACGAGCGCATGTATCCCAACATCAAAGAGCCCAAGCCAGTGATCCTCTGGTCCAGCCACCTGACCGTTCCGAAATACATTGAGACCTTCCTGCCCAAGGAGCGGTTCATCATCCAGACGTGGGTCGACTCCCAGGACCCCCTCAACCGGGACCTGCTGCAACGCGGCTACCGCCTGATTGTTTCCACCAAGAACGCCTGGTATCTGGACCACGGCTTCTGGGGCAGCACCAGCTACTACAACTGGCGCACAGTCTACGCCAGCGGCATGCCGATGGGCAATCACGGGAACCAGGTCCTCGGCGGCGAGGTGTGCATGTGGAGCGAGTTTGTCGATCACAACTCCTTGGGTAAGTGCATGCCCTTAGCGAATCCCCCCTCAGATCATTCATTTATTCGATCCTTTAGAGTCCCGCATCTGGCCACGAGCTGGTGCGGCCGCCGAACGCCTCTGGTCGAATCCAAAGTCCTCGGCTCTGGTCGCCCAGCGCCGCTTCTATCGCTATCGAGAGCGCCTCCTGGCACGTGGCATCCATGCGGACGCCGTCATCCCACGGTGGTGTGTCCTACATGAGGGGAGGTGTCTCTAGACAGAGGTCCGGACATGGCCGAACAGCACTGTGTATATATGTTTTCAGTCTACTATCAGTTATGTTATCTCCATCGTTAATTATCCATACAACAACAAAATTCATTATTATCTAACAAGAATCGAAGTTTTTGACTGATTGTTCGAAGAGGAATCACAATACTCGATATGGGATGCATTAGATCTTAATTTCCTCGTATCTGTACCCAATCTTGGTGTTTCACGCGTCATACGGAGGGGCCCCTCGTTGGCGTTATATGCTGATTTTAATATTTATCCATTCTTAAACATTTGGAGGGTTGTTTTAAATTGAATCCAATGTTTTCCATATCCATTTTTTTGGTTTCATCTTTAAACTCTCCTCTTCGAATTTCCTTTCCGATCTTCTGCCCAGGACTTAGGTATTATATATATTTCTGCGTTTCGGCCAATGCTGATGCTGGTCTTAAAAGCTTGGGATATCAAAGGTTTCATGTTGCAACTTCATTGTTCTGAAAATTATCCGAATAATCCGAAAATAGGATTATCCCAAGAGATTATTGTCGTATTGTCCGAAACAGCATCAACCATATCAGTGATCAATCGAGAGAGACCCGCTGTAAAAGTAAAATATTCTTTAAAATATTCTACAACATGACTTCCACATGCAATTACACTATAGTCCATATAATGGGACACTCTATTTCGTAAAATTCGTAAAAAATTACATTATATTAGATAGGATATACGATGTGCGATATGATGTTGGGTAGAATATGTAGTCAATAATACTGGGGGCCCTTTTTCATTGTCCTCCACTGCCTTTGATCTTTTTGGTGCTCCTTACAATCGAGGCACTCTATTTGATGTAGTTCTGGTCGATGGCGTGCTTGAAGATGTCGGCCAGACGCTGCTGCTTGGCGGGCTCCTTGAAGGGCGTAATGTTCCAGATGTCGGTGAGAATGGCATTCTCCTTGATGGCATCCAGATCGGCGACCTCTTCGTCCTCCATCATGGTCATGGGCAGCGATTCAATTCCCATGCCGCAGCCGAAGCGACCAAACTGAACAAGCTCCGCCTTTAGCGAATCCCATGAGATGATCGACTCGGCATTGCCGCCCAGATCGGTGATCAGGCTCTGGGCACTGTCCAGGTATGCACGCAGCAGTTCCTCATAGTGCTTCTCGCGCAGCTCCTGGCTGGTGCACGAGTAGATGAAGAAGCTTAGGTCGAGGGCCAGTGAGGAGCAGCGTGCTAGCTGGAAATCGATGATGATAATGCTCAGCGGCTGGCCCTTATCCCCGTAGCTGGTGAGGAAGTTGGGCGTCCAGCAGTCGCCGTGCCCGAACACGCTCAGCTTCGAGCGCGTGGACACGAGGTCTATCAAATCGTCGAAGAGCGACGGCTGCAGGAAGTTGTTGCCAATCGTCTCGTACTTGGTGTTGGGATAGGTCTTGGCAATGGCATCCTTGGCGACGTTCTCGGCCAGCCCCAAGAAGCCGGTGTACCACTCGCGGGTGTGCTCCCCGTAGTAGGTCTCTTCCAAAGCCGAGGCGGCCTTCTCGAAGTTCTTCGGGTCCAAGGCATTGAAGGCCAGGGCCACGCCATGGTAGCGCCCCAGAGCGCGCATCGTGAGCAGGGCATCCGGCAGAGCAATGTAGTCCTGGCTGCGAGAGATTGTTTCAGTCATCGCTTTAGGCTGCTGGAATGGATGAGACTCACCGAACAGGGGCTTTATAGCCGCGTTGTCCCACATCCTCCAGAACAATGAAATCATTGATGCCATCGCACAAGGAGGCATAGCACTTGGCGTACTCCACAAAGGGATTATTCGGTTTGGGCTGCCTGGCTTCCTGGAAGGCCTCAATGGCTGGAATGACCTTCGTGTAGAAATGGATCTCGTTCCGGAAGAATATCACAGACCGGAACAGACGACGCCTGTGCAGATTGTCCGGCATGGCCTTGACGATGGTATTCACCTCCAGCTCCACATCCTTGCCATCTTGGCCTGCCTTAACGCCAAAGATGGTGATGCGAAAGACGCGGCTCAAGTAGGCATCGCCCTTCTTGCCGCTGGGACCGAACTTGTACGAGGTGTACTTGGTGCCACCCGCCTTCTGGAAGATCTCGTCCAGCGTCGCCTCCGAGAACTTGGCGGAAATGTCTCCCAATTTCACAGTTGAGCTCATCTTGCCGGCTGATGGGTTAGTGTTTCCGCTCGGGGATCTTTATCTGGTATTTGTAGCAAACAATCTGCTCAAAAATGAGATAATATTCAATTGATAAGCGGACAGCACTTGACATTCAGCTTTAATCAGTGAAAAACATCTTCGGCAGCGACGCCTATTCTGGCTGGGTTTGTGTTTGGACACGTCAGTAGTTCCCGATGTACACTCGCAGCGCTGCCTCTGTCATCAGCCATTGTGAACGCTGGCGGAGCGGCGGCGCGGCGTTAACTTACCGGCTTTTATTCAGCGGCTGCTGCTGGTTGTTGCTCTCGCGCTGCTTCTGTGTTGTATGGAGCGCTTTTATTCGGAATTCCGTATTTATTGCTCGCCCTTTTGCTTCTAACGGAGTGCGACTTGCTTCTGTGGACTGCCTGAGCGAGTGGCTTTTAAATTGAGCCCAAAATTTGATACGGCTGAATGGAAACGCACCCACAAAATTACGCACTTTGATGCAAATTTTTGTTCAACTGACACTTGTTGGGTATGGTATAGAGATGCAGTTCGTTAGCTACATGCCAGAGTTACTTTCAGCTATTTAGCTATTTAATTTAACTTCGTTATTGTACGATTGCATATATTTATTGTACATACTGCAAAGATTCACTGCTTATAAGTTGAGTTTGTTTACCCTGTTGCTGATGTATTTTTCAGCTATTTCAATTATGTACCATACCATATCAAGATTTTTTAAGTATACATGTTTATTTAATATAAATTTTTAGCTCTTTATAGCAACTGTTGCTCTCCTCGCAAAATATTATTATTATATTATTGTTTGGTGCTCAAATCAATAATATATGTTTCATTTAGCTTGCAAATCGTGCTGTTGCTTACCCATTTTTGAATTTTTTAGCTGTGAAAAGCAGTTGTTATTGCCCATCAATGCCGAGGGCACTATCGAGCTGATACCATCAATTTCATCCTATTAAATTTTATTTTCAACGGAATATAGAAATCCAATCAAAGCAAGTATTTAGAATAAGCCAGTTAAGTAAAAATGGATTCATAAATACTATAAAATTATGTGGGCATGGCAAAATGATTTATCTAGCTAATAATATTCGACGGAATATCAAAATTGAAAAATAGGAACGACTATCCTCTTTCGTTTTTTTGTTTGACCATTTTCGGTAAAACCTTTTTACGCAAAATGCAATAAAAGCAAGTGTTTAAAATAAACCAGTCAATTAGAAAATAGGTTAATTAATTGGATAAAATTATGTGGGCATGGCTAAATGTTCTATCTAGCTAATAATATTCCACGGAATATCAAAATCGAGGAATATGTATAATAGAACTTGAATTCGTCAGTATATTTACGGTATATTTCTGAGGGTCGGACGGTATATTTCAACGATAAATCCGCGGTCACACTGCTCCCTATCCCCATATTCATTGCACGTGTGCCGCTCTGGCACTTCAATTTGTTTTCGTTTTTAAACATCTTTTACCATGACTGCCATGGAGCCTGGAACGAAAAAGAAGCGCATTTCGAAGAAGAACAAATCCGCCTGGCGCAAGACAGACATTCAAGATGTAGAGCAGTTCCTTGAGGATCAGCGCCAGGAGGAGCGCATTGGGTGGGTTCTTGCTGCCCCGAATCTTGGAGTTTTCTTAACTTTTTCCACACAGCACGTTCACAGAAAAGCAGGATGAGGATCTATTCGTGCTGGACTCCACGCCGCTGAAGGCGAAGCCCACTGTGCTGAGCATCAAGCAGAAGCGGAAGCTGAATGCCAAGAAGCCCATGCGCACATTCCAACCCATGGAGAACACATCCAAAGTGCAGGATCCCATTGTCAAGCGGTAGGTGGTGCACCTTTGTATTGATCCTCCAAATGCAAGTGCGTTCTTTCAGCAATCATGTGAAGCAAAAGAAGAACGGACGCAATATCGAAATGGAGGTGTGTAATCCCACCAAGCCGCGCCATCGACAGGCCAACAGCGATCGGGGCCAGTACTATGTAAAGATGGAGCAGCGCCTGGCCGACAAGAAGAGCAAGAAGACCAACTTTGACAACGACATTTGGCAGGATGTGGACTTTCGTGACAAGATTCCGGGCCTGAAAGACGAAAAGGGTTGGATCAGCCGCGATCTGGCCCTCCACATAGCCGGCAACGTGGGTAAAAAGTTGGTCAAGACTCACGCCAGTATGCACCACAAGACCATCAAGGGCAAGAAGTTTGTCCCTCCACATCCCGGCATGAGCTACAATCCAGCACTGGAGGCGCACAAGCAGTTGTTGTCGGAGGTCGTGGAGCGTGAGGAGGGCATCATCAAGAAGGAGCAGCATTTGAAGCGCGTCACCACCAGTATGTTCAGCAAAGTCACACCCGAGCAGCGCGACGAGCGCCGCCTGATGGAGCTGAGCGAGGGAATGGATGAAGATGCGGATGCGAAAGAGGAGGAATCCGAGCAGGAGGAGGATGACCCAAACGATTCGTCGGATAAGGCCTATCGTACAATCAATGCCGCCGTGGAGCGAGATTCAAAGAAGAGCAAACAGGCCCGCCGCAAGGAGCTCAAGCAGAAGGAGCTGCAGCGCAAAACGGAGCTCAAAAAAAAGCTCAAGCAACAGACAGCCGATCTGATCCGGTAAGCCATCTCCCCCCATCCTTTCGCCTTATCTGTTACTCAATTTGGACTCCACTCCACTTTAAGCATCAAATCGATTCGCCATGAACTGGATGACGAGGCCGAGGACCTGAACGACCTGAAGAAGCGTCGCAAGCAGCGGGCGGAGAAGAAGAAGTTCGAGCCGAAGCGCCTGGGGCGGCACAAGTTCGAGGAGCCCGATGTGGATGTCAATATGCCCGAGGATCTGGCCGGCAATCTGCGCAACGTGAAACCGGAGAGCAATCTGCTGAAGGACCGCTTCCATCTGCTGCAGAAGAACAACATGCTGCCCACAACGGTGGCCGTCACCCGCAAGAAGGCCAAGGTGAAGCGTTTCGAGCGCAACTCGCACAAGGATCCCGGAACCAGCTACCAAGATCTGGCCGATCGTCGTCGTGCCGCCGCCAAGGCGGCCAAGCAGACCCAGGATACCATTCAAATATAAGGCCTTAAATCTTCGATTATATATATTCGGTTTTTTTTCCTCGTTTAACAAAAATGTAATTAATTTTCTACAGAAATTAAAATCCACCCACACTTAGGGTGAATCCTCCTAGATCAAGGACTTGCCCAGACTGCGTTTCTGTTTCATATTGCTCTTCTTTTTCTTCTTGGCCTGCGGTCCGGCCAGCTCCCTATCCTCGATCGGCTCGATGGGACCGCTTCTCAGGTGTCCACTGGGTAAAAGAGAGATGAATGAGATGGCCATTGAAATGAGGGGAATGCTGATGCACGCGCACCTACCTCTTGACGGAGATGAGACCGCTGCCGCCGCCACTGCCGTTCGTTTGCAGGGCCTTGGACCAGTCCTCTTCGGTGCCCTTGATCAGGAACTCGTCCAGCTGCTCGGCCTTGAGGCGCTTCAGCTCCTTGCGCTGCTGCTTGCTCAGCTTCTGGGCAGTCTGGTCGAGCTCCTGGTCGAGCGAGAGGCTGATCGGCTGGAGGTCCTCGCCGCGCGGCAGATCCGCCTCCTGCAGCATGCCGCCCTCGATGTGCTGCTCGATGATGGAGCGGAAGCACTGATTGCACTTCTTCATGGCATCAAAGAACTTGGCCAGCAGCTGGTTGCCCGGCATATTCAGCTCCTGCCCGAGGGTGTCCACCGTCTTGCCTTGCACACCCAATGCCAGGAGAATGCCCTGCTGAACCAGGTCCAGCTGCAGGGACTCGAACCGGCCCTGGAAATACAGCTGGGCGATGTCTGTGAGGAGGTCGAGGATCAGCCGGAACTCGGACTGCTGGCGCGCGTAGCTCTCGAGGCGTTCCAGGTCGTGCGGCAAAAAGAACACGTCCAGTGTGTTCTTGTCCAGGGGTTTGCTGCTGCTCCCAGACTCCGCCGCGGACTTGTTCTTGAGTAGTGCCAGGCAGAGTTTCGTCTCAAACTCTCGGAACGTCTTTCCCATCAACTTGAGGACACGCCGCCTAAAGTCCTGGTAGTAGAGCCCCAACCACGGAGTAGTTGCGGGCGTGTGCAGCATGATGCAGCTGTGCTCGGCGGTTAGTTCGTTAGCCTTCTGGCTGAGGTACACGGGCACAAAGCCGGCGCTCTTCCAGAACTTTAGCAGCTCCGGCGTCAGGCCATACGAGGTGCCAATGTAGTCCACAGGCTCCGGTGTGCGCTCGTGCAGGCGTTGCAGGAGTGTGGGAATGTTTTTCCTCGGCCGGATCTGCTCTTTCAGGAGACTCAGTTGCTCCTCCTCCACCTCTTCTATGCCTGCGGGGGATGCGGAATGAAAAGTTTTTTCGGGAGTACTTTTGCGGAGGGTAGAATTCTCACCATTTTGGCCACCATCCTTGGAGGCAGTGGGTCTATCCAGGTCCAGGTTTGTGTGCCGTCCGGCATAGTAGTCCTTGAGCAGCTGAATCGCCCGCTTGCCATAGCCCATCCTCTGGTAATTGGGATGTGTGGCCACGCGCACAATCCTAACGCCGCAGAGCTTGGGAAAGTCCACATCTCCATACTGCTCGGCAATATTCCAGGGTATGAGGTCGCCGGCGGCCTTCTTGCCGCGTCCCAACGATTCGCTTATGCTCTTCGAGGAGATCTGTCCTTCCAGCGACACCTGGATGACGACGAGGATTTCGGGAAGCTGATCGAGACGCTGGACGGGACCCAGCAGACAGAATAAATGATGCGCTGGGGCGTCGCTCATCATCTGGAGGTCGTTGGGAGTGTTCTTGTAGTGGGAGGAAACGTAGATGGAGACGAGGCGATGCAGGAACGACTCGGCTGCCTTGTGGTAGGAGAAGAGAGCGTCGCGATCAATGTAGTACAGCTCGCAAACATCGGGTGTCGGGCAGCCGGAGCTGATGGACGGCACAGTGCTGGCATCCAGACAGAGCAGATTGATCAGCCAGCGCTCGATGTCGTCGTTCTCCTGGTACCGAATCGATTCATCCAGCTTCAGCGGCGGCCGGGCATTGTTCTCCTTCTGCAGCTGCGAGATGAGCTTCAGGCTGAGGGAGCGTCCTGTGCCCTCGTAGCCATTGATGGTGCTGGCCATGAACACCAGATAGGGGCCGATCATCTTCTTTACCAGTGGCAGCGGAATGGCGGCCGCCTCGTCGATCAGCAGCAGATCGGCGGCATTCAGCAGATGCGTGTCGCTGGGCGCTATATACTGGATGGTCTGCCGGCTGCTCCTCGTAATATTGATCCGGATGATGGCCTTCTTGTAGTCGGCATTTGTCGACCGGATTATGGTGTAGTCCGCATGCTCCTGATACTCGAGCGCATCGAATCCCTTCAGCACAAACTCGAACAACGTGATCAGATTCTCGGGATGCGGCGAGGTCACGTAAACATTCACATAGCCAAAGGCCACGGCCGCGGCTATCGAGAGACCCAGGGCGGCCGATTTGCCGCGACCACGTGCCGCTGTCAGAGACATGGGCGGCTTCAGCTGCTTGTCCACCAGCGCCTCAATGAACTGGGCCACGGCATTGGCCTGGTCGTAGGTCTTGCAGAGGTTAACCAAGGCCCCCGCCGGCTGTACATTCATCAGGCTCTCCTTCAGATCCTTTAGGCTGCTCTCGTTCTCAGAGCGCCCCGCTCCTGCAGGCTATAATAAAATCACTGGAATGATATTACCACACAACCACTGATCGAATCGGTTCTTACGTTAACTGGGTCCACATTGATAGTCTTTGAGCTGAGGGGGAGCACTGTCAGGTCATCGTTGACAACCAGACAGCGCTTGCAGTCGGCCAACGACAGGATCAGACGCTCGTTGAAGCGGCAGGTGACTGTCTGATGTGCCTCGGTGCGGAATCGCTTGTGCACATCCATGCTCATCGTGTAGAGCTGCTTCAGCGACTGTAGGGTCTTCAGCAGCAGAATGATAAGCCCGCCACCCTCGACGGTTTCCACTGTGCGAGCCAGCAGGTTCGGTGTCAGAGCCTCAAAGTCCTGCAGCACGCACACACCATATGTGCGGCCAAGGACCGCATGTGTCTCCGAGTAGTAACGTCCATGGATGGTGGTGGCAACACGGAAGGAATCGAACAAATCCGCCTCATTCACGTCCACCTTGCCCACGGCAATCTTCTTGGCCCGCTTTTTGCCATGGCTGAAGGAAATGAAGGGAATTACGTGAAAGTTGGGCATTTGCCAGAGAATAACTGATCGCCCACTCACTTGGATATGGCCTCGTCTTTATTCTTGTAGCACCACAGCACTGTGGGGCGCGCCTTCACCGTGGACTTGGTGAGGATATCGTAGAGTATGGGCACTTGGTCGCGCGCCTTGTCGCCAATGATGATGAACATGGTCCGATGGCCCAGCTTGACGCCATTCTCAATCATCACGCGTATGCGATTGTCAATTTTCTTCTTGACCATCTTGGCTAACTCTTGTACTAATCTCTAAATCTAATAAATAAAGGAATTATCTGCGAGAGCCGCAGAAGTTCAAAATGCACGTGTGCGCTCTAGTCTCGATACGCATCTCTATGTGCGATAGTTGTTCCTCTTCACAAGTATTCCGTGACAATTTTCATACTTATTTGTTTATACATATCGTTGGGATCGCTGGGAATTAATTCAGTGCATGAACGTTGTATGAACTGGCATAACTATATACTGTATGGTTAGAGACAGCAAAAATCAGTCGTAGTAATTTAAATACATATTGCTCACAATTTACTAGAATGTTAATGCTTTAAGGTAGAAATCTCATAATTACTTGCGGTTGTCACGGTATCAAAATATCGCCCATCCCCAGATAGCCAGCGATAGCAGCTCAAGCCTACGTTCCATTCTGAACGAACTAAATGGTTCAGAGGGAATCAAATGCCGAATACCAATGCAACGCGTATATTCAAAATGAAGTGATTTTTGAACTCCAAAAAATGATCATAATTCAATTATATATATAATCATAACTTGTAGTAGTTTTGTAAGTATGTAATACATAGATCTATTATATGTATTTTATTAAGAACAGAATGAACTAGTTCCGCTTAGACGCTTCACAGCACTTGAATGTCTTGTCTTTTCCAGCACTCCATTTGTGGCTCGCACGTTTTTGTGTAAACAAATGTTTTTCGAGTTTTAAACATTAGTTAAACACTGTAGAAGACATATATAAATCGGAGCCATGTCCTCGTGGAAGAATGCTAACAAGAGCAACCAGAAGGTGCATCGCGAGCGCCACCAGCCAGATGCGCGTCAGCATCTGGGGCTGCTCGAGAAGAAGAAGGATTACAAGAAGCGCGCACTCGACGCCCAACGCAAGGAGAAGACCCTGAAGCTGCTGTACAAGCGGGCACAGAACAAGAACCCTGACGAGTTCTACCACCACATGATCAACTCGAAGCTCTCGGACGATGTTCACCACGAGAAGCAGGCCAAAGACGAGCACACACCCGAACAGCTGTCCCTGATGCAGACCCAGGATCTCAAGTATGTGGTGATGAAGCGTACCATAGAGCGTCGCAAAATCGACCGCCTGAAGGTCGAGCTCATGGACATCGATGCGGGTAAGGCCAACAAGCACTACACCTTCGATGAGCAGGGCAGAAAACAGCAAGCTACCCTGGGCGAGCGCCTCAAGGAGACGGAGGCCACAAAGGTAAGTTTTCCCCCTCGATTGAGTAGCCAACGTAAACTAATGTACCATCTCTCCACCCCAACACCAGGAGCCCCTCGCACCCAATAGCACTAAGCAGCAGCGCATCAACGAGCTGAAAAAACGCGTGCAGCGCGAACGGGAGCTGAGCATTGTCCAGCAGAAGCTGCTGCTGAAGAAGCAGCTCAAGCAACCGCGTCTCATCAAGCCACAAAAGCTGAAGCCCGCCACAGCGGACAGGGCACCGGTCTACGAGTTCCGCTATGAGCGCAAAAAGTGAGGGATTACCAAAAGTTCCTCTTTTTTTTTTTTTGAATAAAGCGATTAAGTGTTACTGGCATACGTGTCCAATTACTGAACGGTCGAGGAATATAGACAGGATTCTTGCCTCCGAATTCCACTATATGGATGCATCTGCATCCATAGCGGGTGTATAACAAGAATCGTGATCCAAAACAAGGAAAGAAATTTGACTTAATCCCGCTGGATGGTGATGGCGATCACCTAGCTTACCTGGATTTTAAGCCGAAGTGTTTGAGGGGCTATAAAGCCCCGCCAGATTAGATACCATTACATAATAATATTAATAATTACTCTTGTTGCTTCATCCTATCCTTCATCTTTGCTTAAAAAATCACGATGTCTTTCACAGAAGCTGTGTTGAAATTCTTCAAGATTCATCAATTTCGTGGAGTGTGGAGTGGACAATGATTAGCCAATCATTCTCTCCCCATGATCGGAAATCATATTTTTCGATTTTGACACTCGGTTTTCCGAGTCCTTTTTCTGATGGCACGACTCTGCCGATCACGAAAAGACCTGCCGCGCCAAGATCGACTGCCGTATTGCAGAGATATAGCGTACAGAAGAAACCAGTATTCTACAGATACGCCAATCCCAGTCTTCGGAAGGCTATATCTCAGACAAATAGGGCCAGATCGAAGAAGGACCCACTCTACCAGGATCGTGAGGGTCCAGACTGTCAACTGGCATCAAAATCTCGACTACGAAAATGAGGCCGATTTTTTGAAAATTTAATGATGGTTACATCATGATTTTTTGCGAAAATCGCGAAAATATGGATGTCCTCTTTTCCGATGACAGTCGATTGGCAGGATCCTCCCGATCATGGAGAGACATGCCACGCCAAGATCGGCTGCCGCATTGCAGAGATATGGCGTACAGAATAAACCAGTATTCTACAGATACGCCAATCCCAGTCTTCGGAAGGCTATATCTCAGACAAATAGGGCCAGATCGAAGAAGGACCCGCTCTTCTAGGATCGTGGGGGTCCAGACTGTCGACTGGGTGTCCTTTTTTCCGATGACAGTCGATTGGCAGGACTCTCCCGATCACTAAGAGACATGCCGCGACAAGATCGACTGCCGCATTGCAGAGATATGGCGTACAGAAGAAACCAGTATTCTACAGATACGCCAATCCCAGCCTTCGGAAGGCTATATCTCAGACAAATAGGGCCAGATCGAAGAAGGACCCACACTACCAGGATCGTGAGGGTCCAGACTGTCAACTGGCATCAAAATCTCGACTACGAAAATGAGGCCGATTTTTTGAACATTTAATGATGGTTACATCATGATTTTTTGCGAAAATCGCGAAAATATGGATGTCCTCTTTTCCGATGACAGTCGATTGGCAGGACTCTCCCGATCACGGAGAGACATGCCGCGACAAGATCGGCTGCCGCATTGCAGAGATATGGCGTACAGAAGAAACCAGTATTCTACAGATACGCCAATCCCAGCCTTCGGAAGGCTATATCTCAGACAAATAGGGCCAGATCGAAGAAGGACCCGCTCTTCTAGGATCGTGGGGGTCCAGACTGTCGACTGGGTGTCCTTTTTTCCGATGACAGTCGATTGGCAGGACTCTCCCGATCACTAAGAGACATGCCGCGACAAGAGCGGCTGCCGAATTGCAGAGATATAGCGCACTGAAGAAACCAGTATTCTACAGATACGCCAATCCCAGTCTTCGGAAGGCTATATCTCAGACAAATAGGGCCAGATCGAAGAAGGACCCACACTACCAGGATCGTGAGGGTCCAGACTGTCAACTGGCATCAAAATCTCGACTACGAAAATGAGGCCGATTTTTTGAAAATTTAATGATGGTTACATCATGATTTTTTGCGAAAATCGCGAAAATGTGGATGTCCTCTTTTCCGATGACAGTCGATTGGCAGGATCCTCCCGATCATGGAGAGACATGCCGCGCCAAGATCGGCTGCCGCATTGCAGAGATATGGCGTACAGAAGAAACCAGTATTCTACAGATACGCCAATCCCAGCCTTCGGAAGGCTATATCTCAGACAAATAGGGCCAGATCGAAGAAGGACCCGCTCTTCTAGGATCGTGGGGGTCCAGACTGTCGACTGGGTGTCCTTTTTTCCGATGACAGTCGATTGGCAGGACTCTCCCGATCACTAAGAGACATGCCGCGACAAGAGCGGCTGCCGAATTGCAGAGATATAGCGCACTGAAGAAACCAGTATTCTACAGATACGCCAATCCCAGTCTTCGGAAGGCTATATCTCAGACAAATAGGGCCAGATCGAAGAAGGACCCACACTACCAGGATCGTGAGGGTCCAGACTGTCAACTGGCATCAAAATCTCGACTACGAAAATGAGGCCGATTTTTTGAAAATTTAATGATGGTTACATCATGATTTTTTGCGAAAATCGCGAAAATATGGATGTCCTCTTTTCCGATGACAGTCGATTGGCAGGACTCTCCCGATCACGGAGAGACATGCCGCGACAAGATCGGCTGCCGCATTGCAGAGATATGGCGTACAGAAGAAACCAGTATTCTACAGATACGCCAATCCCAGCCTTCGGAAGGCTATATCTCAGACAAATAGGGCCAGATCGAAGAAGGATCCACACTACCAGGATCGTGAGGGTCCAGACTGTCAACTGGCATCAAAATCTCGACTACGAAAATGAGGCCGATTTTTTGAAAATTTAATGATGGTTACATCATGATTTTTTGCGAAAATCGCGAAAATATGGATGTCCTCTTTTCCGATGACAGTCGATTGGCAGGACTCTCCCGATCACGGAGAGACATGCCGCGACAAGATCGGCTGCCGCATTGCAGAGATATGGCGTACAGAAGAAACCAGTATTCTACAGATACGCCAATCCCAGTCTTCGGAAGGCTATATCTCAGACAAATAGGGCCAGATCGAAGAAGGACCCACACTACCAGGATCGTGAGGGTCCAGACTGTCAACTGGCATCAAAATCTCGACTACGAAAATGAGGCCGATTTTTTGAAAATTGAATGATGGTTACATCATGATTTTTTGCGAAAATCGCGAAAATATGGATGTCCTCTTTTCCGATGACAGTCGATTGGCAGGACTCTCCCGATCACGGAGAGACATGCCGCGACAAGATCGGCTGCCGCATTGCAGAGATATGGCGTACAGAATAAACCAGTATTCTACAGATACGCCAATCCCAGTCTTCGGAAGGCTATATCTCAGACAAATAGGGCCAGATCGAAGAAGGACCCGCTCTTCTAGGATCGTGGGGGTCCAGACTGTCGACTGGGTGTCCTTTTTTCCGATGACAGTCGATTGGCAGGACTCTCCCGATCACGGAGAGACATGCCGCGACAAGAGCGGCTGCCGAATTGCAGAGATATAGCGCACTGAAGAAACCAGTATTCTACAGATACGCCAATCCCAGTCTTCGGAAGGCTATATCTCAGACAAATAGGGCCAGATCGAAGAAGGACCCACACTACCAGG